CTTCACCAACCTTTTTTGAAATAACTTAAATAACCTTACACAATGCGTGTACCGTGGTTTTTTTACCTTCTTTAATACTATCGTATATGATATGAAAACATGCCATATTGATGCATCTATGATTTATAATTCACCATTAGTCTTGTCTTAAAACATTGACAAAGTGTTTCTTGTCTAGAATGCTGATCTCGCAATTGGTCCACTGAGCATCAGTTCCCAGCGTCAGAGCGTTATTGACTTCACTCAACCATATATGGATGTTGGTTTATCAATCCTCATGGCTAAAGAAAAAGACAGCGGGTACAAAGTCTTTTCGTTTCTCAGGCCTTTTGACTTTCATCTGTGGCTTGGTAAGTATACGTACATAATGTTTGACGCATACCTTCAATTGGTAAGAGCGTCGCTATGTTGTGCGGGAGGTCGTGGGTTCAAGCCCCGGCAAGACAAACACTGACTCAGGGTCCTAAAATAACTGAGGAGAAAGTGCCTGCCATTACAATTGCATCTGGTAATGCATGGTTAGACTTTCACGCGGCTGAGATAAACATGTTAATGACGCCGGTCCTGTTCCTAAATAGCTAGAGACGTTGACAGAGTACCACGAGTTTATCCATGATACTCAGTGATATTTTGAAAGTTCTCAAATTGGACTCGTCTTTAAAGGCTTGTCCAATTTTGAAAATTTTCAAAACATCACTCGTACCTATAAACTCTGAATTGTACTCGAGAACGTGCGATTTCCTAAGCTAATTTTTGATTTGATTTGTTCTTCGTATGCAAACAACTTTGTACTAATGTATTTTTTTTTAAATCGTTCTTGTTCGTTCTAGCTATTTCGCACGTCTATAATAGGGGACAGTTTTCCATTGACRCACACTCAGTACCATACTTAACACTTAATTCACACGCATCTCTTTGTTTTATTTCAGCCATTGTGTTCACAGCACTCGGTGTCGGGATCTTTCTCTGGATCCACAGTACATTCAGTCCCTATGGTTACCACGGCCGGTGTGCGCAGGCGCAGAGTGAGAAAACTGTCCCTCGTCATGTTGCCAAATCCAAGAACTACCTGAGCTTTTTTAACTCAATCTGGTCATCATTTGCATATTACGTCAGCCAAGGCSCTGATGTACTCCATCCAGTCTCTCCGTCGGGAAGGGTGGTGGTTGGCGTCTGGTGGTTTGCTGTACTGATTATTGGTAAGGTTAAGGAATATAAAACGCGCGGTCATGTCTCTGTTCTGTGATATCAACACGCTGGGAGCTGTACAACAAACGAGAGAAGCAAGCTGAGTGTTTGTTTTGCTTTTCTAGTGCCCCACAGCTTCCAAAGTGTTTAAAACACAGAATAAAGAAATGCGCGCGCGCGGTTTATATTGCTTTTAAAAATAAAATATTTTGGAACGACTTTGCGCGACCGTGTCTCTGTCCTCTGATATAAAAACGCCGAGCCAACCAATCAGCGCGCGTTATATATATCAAATATTTTATAAAACTGAACTTTATTAGCCATGCTTACTACATATGAAATAAAGACCTGTTTGGTGTCTCACATTTCTGTTTATTTTTTGGGACAATCGCTTAGCCCAATCTAAATCTAAAAACAAAAATGGGATTACTGGATGGGTTATCACCATCATCACCATCATCACCATTTTCTCTTCGTCTTTCCTTTTTCTTCCTTCTCTTGCTAATCGCCTGAATCTTTTTCTTTTCTCATTTCTATTCCATTTTCTCCTAATCATTGCTTCTCTTTTCCCCCAGGAGCAACATACACAGCAAACTTGGCATCCTTCCTCATCGTGGAGCGCTTCAGCACAGCTATCAATTCAGTAGAAGACTTAGCACGACAAGTTAAGATCCATTACGGCACCATACAAAACACGCAGGGGCAAATGTTCTTCCAAACTTCTAGCATACCTACTTTTGTTACCATGTGGGAGTTTATGAAAGCTGCAAATTCTCTCGTTGAGAACACAACGGTCGGTGTGGAACGTGCAAGGAAGGGAAACTATGCGTTCTTGTATGATACTGTGATCCTTGAGTACTACATCCAACAGAAACCTTGTGAAACTTTACAAATCGTTGGACGGTATGCTCTTTTGTTTGCATTGCATCTGCTTGGTCCAATTCGTTTGTTCGGTCATGCATCGTTCTCATAATGATATAAGATATAAAAGATATAAAGCACATAAAATGCGTTTATAGAAGTACAGTATAGAAATTGACCTTTTGTTTTGACCTGAAGTCGCGCTATCCACCTTTATTTTATATTATATTATTATTGTATTATCGTTCCTGGATTCACAGCAGCATAATTTTTCTGTCCCTTGATTCTAGATTTTTTCTCCGGGTTCTCTGGTTTTCATCCCCCCTAACCTAACAAACTAAATTCCAGGCTGTTTCAGGTCCGATTTTAACGTCTAGAGCTGGATCTAGGGAAAAAAAGCGCTAGCGTCTGAGTTAGTATCTGAGTCTGCGAGACTTATTTCAGACATTTTTACAGGGAATTTGGAACGTTTGGTTATGGCTTTGGATTACCAAAAGATTCGCCCTTCACTCTTCAGTTCAGTATTAGTATCTTGGAACTAAGACAGAAGGATTATATAACTGCCCTGAAGAAAAAGTGGCTTAGAGGACAGTGTGACGACACCGATACTACAACAGGTACTTGATAATATGATGTTTGATGGAAAAACAACCCACCAACCCACCAACCCACCAACCCACCAACCCACCAACCCACCAACCCACCAACAAACCGCAAACAAACAAACATATACAAATCTTAATATAAATTCAGTCAACATTGCAGTTGTGTTAAAGTCGACAATAATTTGTTGACAAATATCCGTTCAAGATCCTAAGTCAAGAATCTTTCCATTTAGAGTCCAGCACTGCCATAGTGTCCCACAGTGATGTGCTTACGTTCAGCGATATGTCTGGTGTGTTTTACTGTGTGTTTATTGGTATGGGGGTTAGTCTTGTGGTATTGACTGGCGAGCTGTTCTTTGAGTCATATAAGGATAACAGAAATGGAAGCAAGGTGGTATGTATTGTAATGATAATAACCATTTATCCTAATGCCTGCTTGCCTGCTTGCCTGCTTGCCTGCTTGCAGGCTATTCATCTCTCTCCATACACTTATAGTAATGATTTCTTCAAAGGGTTTATCCAAGACTCTTTTCAAGCGAATAAAACAATCGTGGTTAAACTACATGTCTTCCAAGCAACCGTCCGTCAAGCCCTCATTTATAATAACAAACCACTCGAACTTCAAATCACGCAACTCCCCTCAAAAGTTAAATTTATCAACAATAACAGTCGAAAATCTGGAGACGCAGGAGCTTACATCATAGATTTTTCTTATATGGGCAATGTGGTACTAGAGAAGGCGACGAATCAGAAGGAAGAAGTTGCGGGTATATATGACGTCATCGACAGCGACCAATGAATTTCAAGGAATATCATCCAGAATGCCTCCATGTGGTCTAGTGGCTTGTGAAGTCATGGCCGCCATCTTGGTTAAACTTGCTAAATGCAACAAAGACGTCATCATTTATCGCGTGTTCCGTATAGACCGTTTTCTCAAGGTTGCGTGCGCATCCAAATTTAAAGAACTTGACGGGCCACGATACCAGAACACAAGCTTTATGATGAGTATTATCCTACCTTGCTATGATTTTTTCCCGATAAGAATTCATTTGCGTTTTTCAGTTTTATGGCTCGTCAAGTTGAATGCGCACGCAACCTTGAGAAAACGGTCTATTGCCAGAACTAAAAGACCTTCCTTGAATTCGCTTGAGAGAAAACAATGACTTCAGGTCGAGGTTAGACTTGATAAAATGTAACAATTTATGAACAGTTGTATAAACGTTGTACTTAGGTATATAGTTTAAATTATAACCAAAGGGAAAACCATGCCATGATTATTTCAGAAATTGTTTCAGGGTTCGGTAAAATTTGAAATCACGTTAATGCTCCCAATTTACCCACTAGAGTAATAACAACAAAAACAATAGTTTGTAGGGTAATGGGGTATGGGCCGGTGATCAGTAGGTACATGGTAGATGGGAAAAGGGTGAACTTAAAGCAAGGGATGGGTCGGAAGAAAGGCACGATATGCAGACTTTCCTCTCTTCCCATTCACATCTTCCTCCAGGGCAGTACCCCTCCCCGACCTCCCTCTCCTCGACCTCCCTCCTTCTCTGTTTCTCATTATATTATATACTGATGCTCTATAGTTTTAATGGTTTTTTCGACAACCGAAAATATTTTCTTTTTTTTTTTTTTTTTGCATTGGTGCGCGCACCATTTGATATCAATTCTCAATTCTGCAAGTATGAATAAAGAGATAATACAGATTTTGTAGTTTAGATTATGAGGTCTTGGCTGTTTGCGACCAGTATGAAAATGCGTAAATCTAGAATCTTGAATCCAAAATTTGTAATCTGATGTGGAATCTGGAATAGGCCATTTGCAGGAAATAATCACATGACTGTTACAGGATGACAAAAAAAAATCGGGCTTCCTTTTATAACTATTTTATTTCTTTTATTTGTTGCAAATGGTCTACATAAGATGAGGAATCTAGAAATAAAGATGTGAAATTTGAAATTTAACATGCGGAATCTGGAATCCAAGATATGGAGATTAGATTCAAGACGTGGCATCAGGATTTTAGGATCACGGTCGTTTAAAATCTGCCGGGAATCCCCAGATGTTAGAAACCAGTATTTTCCTATTGTTTTCCACACGGAACTTTATTAACTTTATTAAATTTGCTTTAACCGCGCGCTCTTGATGATAGAGACGTGATGCAAATCCTTATGTACCACGAAARATAGTTTACTTTAAAATTCGGACCTCTGCAAAGCGACCACTCGTGCGAAAAGTGGTCGCTTTATAGAGGTTTAGTTATTCTTTTCTTTGCATGCCTAGACATTAGTTTGATTCTTTATCCAGCTTCTTGCTATAAGTACATTAGTGTACACCCCGTAAGAGTTCGGGTTAGCACATCCTATACCCCAACTTATTACCCCATACAAGTACCAGCAGTAATTGGACTTCTCCTTGATAAAGGGTCCCCCACTGTCTCCCTGACATGAGTCAATCCCACCCTCCGCATGACCCGCACACATCATCCTATCAGTGATAATAGCTTTCCCTTCATAGGTCTTCTTACATAAATCATGCGAGATCAATGGTACGATTGCTTGTTGTAATCTTTTCGCGGCAGCACCTCCGTGGGCGAGCTTCCCGAATCCCGTGATAGTGAATTGCGTTCCTGCAGGAGGGAGTTCGGTGTTAAGAGGCAAACAGATCGGGTATATAAACCGATTATACATTTTAAGGGGTTCAGTTATTTTGATCAGTGCGATGTCATAATCACTCGTCCACCAACGATAGAGAGGGTGGCTGATGATAGTAGATACGTTCTTTATCACCTCGTTTCCTTCAGCCACACTGAGATCATATTCTCCCAGGACCACCAAAATCTCGTCGGGTTCTCTAAAAAGAACACAGTGCCCAGCAGTAACGATCCATTCCTTTGAGATCAACGTGCCGCCGCAGTAATGTTTTTTGTCTTCTTTTGCAAGGAGGCCAACCTGCCACGGCCATGAACCGGGAAATGCGGACTCACCGCCCACGATACGAGCCTGCACTCGGCGACCACATTCCTTGTTTGGGTTTAGAACTAATGATTAACAAAGAGATTGTGAGTTTTTGTATTGAAAATAATGTAGCGGAGATTGGCATCCCAAACGTTACGATGTACGAGAGGGGAATAAGAAAAGGAAAAGGCAGAGAAAGCAAAAGAATAAAAAGGAAACCTTAGAAAAGCCTTTATAGTTTTTTGTCGAAGTTCAAATGAGTAAAAATGAGAGACGTTTCTTCCTTCTTTCGGTTCCTTTCTTCTGTTTCTTTCTTCCTTCCTTCCTTCCTTCCTTCCTTCCTTCCTTCTTTTCTTCCTTTCTTCCTTTCCTTTCTTTTTTTGTCTCTATGAATTTCATTTCTTTTAAAACTTTTGCCTATACAATTGCCGGTATCCTTTGTGTGCGTGTCTTTGATGAAGTCACACATGCATGTCTTACCTATTTCACACTGATTGCCGTCATAACCATACAAACACTGGCACCAGTATGTTGTAGGTTTGTTGACACAAATTCCACCATTCATACAGGGATTACTGGAACAGTGCGTTTTAACTAAAGGAGAAGAACAATGGCAACTCCTATTAAAACTGCAATCCGCCCTCATTTTTCTCATCACTACTAATCATTATCATCACCCATATCATCTGATCATTGTCATCGCCACCTTCATTACCATTATCATCATTATCACCATTATCATTGTCATCATCATCATCATTACCATCTGATCATCACCATTATCTAATCAYCACCACCATCATCATCATAATTATCATCACCATAACCTTATTATCATCATCGTCATTACCATCATCCAATAATCACCATCATCATCAACGCCATCATCATCTGATAATCATCGTCATCATCATCTGCATTCATCATTACCACTACCACCACCATCATCATCAACGCCATCATCATCTGATAATCATCGTCATCATCATCTACATTCATCATTACAACCACCACCACCATCATCAACGCCATCATCATCTGATAATCATCGTCATCATCATCTACTTTCATCATCACCATTACCATCACCACCATCATTATTTGATCATCACCATCATCTAATCATCACCACCATCATCATCATAATTATCATCACTATAACCTTATTATCATCATCATCATTACCATCATCCAATAATCACCATCACCATCATCATCAACGCCATCATCATCTGACAATAATCACCAACACTAAAATCATCACATTCATTATCTGATAATCATCGTCATCATCATCTACATTCATCATCACCATTACCACCACCACCATCATTATTTGATCATCACCACCATCGTCACTATCACCCTATCATCAAGATCATAATGTTCAAAGAATGCGTCATAGCTGTGTCAACATACGTACCCTCTTCACATTGCTCCCCGATGTATTTACTAGTACAGCTGCATATATAACCATTTACTTCATCTATGCAAGTTCCATTATTTTGACAAGGTGAGCTTTGGCATTCATCAATGTCTGTTGAACACACAGCAATAATTAAAAGAATACAATCCAAAAACACATATAGAAGCAACAGGTTTTACTGACCTGTTTCACATCTTTCCCCAGTAAAACCACTGGCACATGAACAGGTGTAGTTGTTCACGTGATCAGTACATGTTGCATTATTGAGACATGGTTCACTTTGACATTCGTTTACATCTGTTTGGAAAGAAAATAGGACACTATTTGCATATAGATATATATTGTTATCTTGAGGTGAGGGCAGCCATATTGGAGTTCTTGCTGTTGCTTCCTGCCATCCATTATGGCTGCCATCACTATATACTATACGTCAATATTARTGATGGTTTTAAAATTATTTAAAATGAAATTAAACATACCTATTTCGCAGTTTCTTCCAGTAAAACCACTTGCACATGCACAGGTGTAGTTGTTCACGAGATCAGTACATGTTGCATTGTTTTCACAGGGTTTTGGCAAGCAATCATCGATATCTGTAAACCAATTAATTCACTTTTTATTTTTTATAAATGAAAAAATTTAACAATTACCTTTTCCTTACCTGTTTCGCAATTACTTCCAGTAAAACCACTTGCGCATGAGCAGGTGTAGCTGTTCACGTGATCTATGCACGTTGCATTGTTTTGACAAGGTGTACTTTGACATTCATCAAAATCTTTGGAGAAAAAAAAAACAAACATTTAGTGCTTGCTTAGCCATTAATCTGATTTTGATTATGCTTTTATGAAAATCAACTTCATACTCACTAATCTCACAATTCCTGCCAGTAAAGCCACTAACACATGAGCACGTATAGTTGTACACGTGATCAATGCATGTGGCATTATTTTCACAAGGAAAATTTTCGCAGTCGTCTATATCTATGATAAACAAAATTGCAAAAGATTAGTTTTTTTAAGTAAATCACAATTGCCAACTTTGAAGAGCAAATTAAATATTTATGAATTATTTTACCTATCTCACAGTTTCTCCCCGAAAATCCGTTAGCGCATGCGCAGGTGTAGTTGTTGACCTGGTCAATGCATGTTGCTTGGTTTTTGCATGGGGTAGATTGACATTCATTAATATCTGAATAAAAATCAATAAGCAAATTTWAAAAAAGTTAAAAACAGTCATTTAAATGTTTCCAAAAGTGTTTAAGTTTCAAGTTATAGAAAACAAACTAATGTAATTTTAGTTGTTACCTATTTCACAGTTTCTTCCAGTAAAACCACTGTCACATGCACAGGTGTAGTTGTTCACGTGATCAGTACAAGTTGCTCTGTTCTTGCAAGGAGAGCTTTGGCAGTCGTCAATGTCTTTAAAGAAAAGCGATTGAATATTACATCATTATTAATTGTTATTATTATCTTTAATCAAGCGAAACCCATTTTTTTTCTTCGAACGTTCCATAAAACTGTTATAAGAAATCTTTTATTTAGTTACCTATTTCGCAATTTCTTCCAGTAAAGCCAAGTGCGCATGCGCAAGTGTAGTTGTTTACGTGATCAATGCATGTCGCTCGATTCCTGCACGGAGTTCCTTGACAGTCGTCGATATCTTTAGAAGGTACAAGGTGTTGTTAATRATAACTAATAAGTAATAATTATCAATAACTAGCATGATATTGGAAAACATCCTTTCCCATATTTCAAACTACTCCAGTTTACCTATTTCGCAGTTTGTCCCAGTAAAACCACTTGCGCATGCACAGGTGTAGTTGTTCATGTGATCAATACATGTTGCATTGTTCATGCAAGGGTTGGACTGACATTCATTGATATCTGTTATGCAAAGAAATATATAATATCAAATCAATAAGCGGAACCTTATAGGTGGGCGCACGTCGACGAAAACAAACTTAAACAATAATATTTATTTGTTCAAGGAGTAATGACTGCACATACATTAGGCAGAGCAACAGGTCATGTGTCGGTTTTAAAACAGCAAATTTACCAACCTATTTCACAGTTTCTTCCAGTAAAACCACTTGCGCATGCACAGGTGTAGTTGTTCACAAGATCAGTACATGTTGCATAATTTCTACATGGTGAACTCTGACAATCGTCAATATCTGTTACAAAAATCGGAGGAAATTAAAACTACATGCGCGGTGGAGAATATTCAGTGGGTCAAATATAGATACAGTCAAGGGTGGTGTGGGGTAGTATACTCGCTTCTCACATCAGGGGTCTAGGGTTTGATTCCTGGTCTCAGCATTTCGTGTGAATAGCGTTTTGAAGTTTTCTCCCTTGATTCATAGGTTTTTCTACTGGCTTACATACCCTTTGCATGTGACGTCAAAGGAGCGCAACTTGGAGGACAGAAACAAGAGAATTTCAATCTCCTGAGAATTGGAAACCTATTGTTATGTTCTCCAAATTGAGCTGCACTCCGACGTACTGCAAGGGGTTTAGTGACCAACTAGAGGTTGCTTCAGTGTTCAATCTTTGAGTTAGCGGCGCCCTGACTTTGATCAGCTCAGAGGTTGTTTTGTGCAGGGTTCGGAAAAAGAATTAAAGTGTTATTTTATTTTACAAAGAATTGACTATAAACACGAATGATACATATACAAAACACAAACTTACTAGCATAAATAGATAAACAAACAAACAAACAAAAAACACTTCACTCTGCCACAATGGTTGAAGGACTGACCAACAGGATAAAGGGTCCCATACAAAGGTCAACCAAAGGTCAAGGTTAATTAGAAGGCTTAGATTTTGACCGGGTTACCTGTCTCGCAGTTTTGTCCTGTGAAGCCAGTTCTACACGCACAAATATAACCGTTTACCAGATCTGTGCAGGTTGCACCATTCCTACAAGGGTTCGGGTTACAATCATCGATATCTGTTAGAAAAAAGAAATAGTCCTGAATCAGAATGGGTAGCGTATGGGAATTAAGGAATGGAAGTCAATCTCAGATATTGAATAACCTACAAGAATTAGAATGCACCTGAATCAGCTCTTTTTCCATACCTGTTCCACAATTCCTTCCAGTAAAACCACTAGCACATGTGCAGGTATAGTTGGCCACGTGATCAACGCATGTAGCATTGTTCTTACAGGGATTACTATCGCAGTGATCAACGGCAACACTCTGATTTTCTATAATATTGTTAATAAGTTAAAAACGCGGAAAACAAACCTAATATTAAACAAACCTAAGATTATAGATCTAAAAGGCTCCATTGTAAACCTTAGACGCATATGACTACCTTCATTCGGGCTTCCTGATAAAATTTGAGATACGTACGGTAGAATATGTATTATTTTTTCTACGAAACCTTTCAGGAAAGACGATACAAGACGCTCGGTAWMTATATATATATATATATATATATATATATATATATATATATATATATATATATATATATATATTTGGCACAGACTACATGAGTTCAAGGCGCGGTTTCACGGAGCAATTTTCTCTGCAATTCGTCTTGCAACAGTGTTGCGGCACAAGTTGCAAGAGTGTTTACACGGTGCAGTTAAGAAGCAATCGTTGCCAAAAATAGAAACGAATTCTACTTTTCGCAACAACTTGTCTCGCAACATTTTTTTTCAAACTGCGCTGTAGGTTACACGCGGCTATGCTGTAGCTTGTGTAGCAACGCTGTTGCGAGAAAAGTTGGAGAGAAATAAAATTGGTCCTTGTCATCTTGTCTTTAGAGCCCAGAAGAAGATTTGTGGTGGAGTCATGAAATTATCACAGGACGGCCGAGTAATATTAGATTTTATAATTGCCACTTTATATTTACCTCGGCATCCGTAAAGCTCCATCCTCAGGTATGCTCCACCGTTCCAGGTTTTTGGGTAGATTCGGATTTTGAGTGCTTTTATTGGTGTTGGAAAAGTGTTCGTCACTACTGAAGTACTATCTGTATTACCAGGAAATATCTGGAAACATATTACTTTATATTAAACGTTGAAGGAAAGAAGGAAGGAAGGAAGGAAGGAAGGAACGAACGAACGAACGAAAGAAGGAATGAAGGAACGAAAGAAGGAATGAAGGAACGAAAGAAGGAATGAAGCAAGCAAGCAAGCAAGCAAGCAAGCAAGCAAGGGACGAACGATGGAAGGGACGAACAAAGTAAGGAACGAAGAAAGGAGCGGAGAAACGAAGGAAGGAACGAAGGAAGGAATGACGGGAGTAAAAATGTATGGATGGAAGGAAGCAAGGAAGGTAGGATAGAAGAATGAAACTAATCACCTTATCAACACCATTGACACTGTACGTCATCCATGTGATTCCATCTTTAGAATACCCAACCTTATAAGAAGTCACCCATTTCCCCGTCTCCCACCAGTTCTGAACAGACCCTCCTTGTATACCAACACCAGCAACGATCGCCAATTGCCCCAGGGAGATTTGGAGCCAAGGGTTCTGGTCCGTGGTTGAAGGGGACCATCCAGTAAGCGATTGAAATGCCACCTGGTTATGTAGTCGGCTGTAAGTAGGGCTGTTAGTGTTGCTCAAGGCTGAAGACGCCGATAGAGAGGCGTCCGGGATACGTCGGTCTTCCATTCCCAAAGAAAGGAAGCATTTGTTGACTGACAAGAAGAATAAAATGAAATGTTTGATTATATGAAAGTAACGTATACCAAAAGAGAAGGCAATGTCGAGTTGAAGGTAAGGGCAAGTTCAACAAGTATTTCACTCTTTTTCTAAAAAAGAAAATCCTGATCGTTAACCAAAATTCATGCAACTATCTTCCATAACTAAATAGATCAGTTTCGAGTTACCGCTGTGTTCCTCGATTGCAGACTTATTTACTCAGGTTTAGCGCAAGATTGATTCAACGGATTTCATTATTTCTGTACAGTGGCCATATTTTGTTTCGTGCTGTGTGTCGTTGTGTAACGGTAACGGTGAGGTTTTCCTAGCAATTCGATTAGAGAAGCAATGAGCTCGTACGAGACATCACCGTGTGTTGTAACGTGATGGTAAAGGTGTTGTGTCTTAGTTATTTAATCGGAGAAGCAATGACTTTGCGTGCGGTGATTTGTTCAAGGGATGTCGTAAATTGTATACTCTGGCACCACCGCGTGCATTGGTGATTCTCTAATCTAATTATAAATACATAAGATAAAAAAGGTTGCCATATACCTGACATGCAGCCAAAGAATTCGACTCTCAAGGCTACTCTTTCTCCATTCCACAAGATAGGATCGATTCTGATGTACTGGGAGATGATTGGCTGGTCAAGGACGTTCTGGGTCTTGGTGTTGCGATCTTCATTCCCGATATAATACTGCAAGGCAAAACTTGATTTGAAATAGTGTTAAGTTAAGGAGAGAGGAAGAACCGGAGAACCCGGAGAACTCGGAGAACCCTCGAATGAAAAGACAGACCTAAAAAGCACCTTTACTCACATATGACTACTAATAGACCGGGATCAAACCCGCGACCACAGCGGCGAGAGACGGCGCATATTAGTTGCGCACACCGTACAGCGTGATATGTGTTATTATAAACAGTGTAAACGTAGTCAATCCGTAGATAGAACTTATGTATGGCGCTGGAGGTCTGGAAAGAGAAAAAATGTGCCCGAGGTCTTAAATATATATGGACCGACATCGTGTGGACGAGCGCACAGTTTTTCTCTATCCGAAACGACCTTAGGACGGTAACTAACCTCTTCTTATTATATGGCAATGTAATTTCACGCGCTTTCAATGGCCAATTTGCGGTCAATAACTAACTGTACGGACCACTAACACATTTTTGTGTGTTATCCTTGGCATATAATAAACATCTTATTAACTTCGCTTGCTCGGTCCGTACGTAAGTTATGGAACCTATTTTTCCCCACTTCTTCATGTTCCGCGCGCTACACGCTTGGGTCATAAGGCAGTAGAAAAACCTCGATAGGTCCATAACTTACGGTACGGACCTCGCACTCGATTGATAAAAGCTATATATGTCCACCTCAACCTTTGCGCATTTCTATTCATATTTTGTACACACAATACCTTAATCATGTCTGCATCATAGATATAGTTCCAGTGAATACCATCGTGACCAAAGCGCACATAATAGTAAGTCACCCACTCATCTGCCACAGGGTTCCCTTGCGTCCCAATAGCCATGACTTTGAAAATTTTTCYTAAGTTTACCGCAAGCCACGGAGAGTAGTCCATATCACCTGTCCTCCAACAGCCGCCAGACAGCGCGGAGGGAACGTTGTTAAGTCGGCCTTGAGAAGCGGCGTAGAGCGCGCTGAGTTGAGTCGAGGATGTGATGTGTTTGTCTGGGATGCTGCCATTTTGCATTCCTAGTTTGGCTCCACAATAGCGCGAATCTGCAAAAATAAGACTAGAATATATATTTTTATCACAAAAATAAGATAAATACTGGATGAAAAGTTCAGTCCCTTTTTTTGATTGCAAAAATGTAATGTTGCAGTGACAAATACTTTGTGCTTTTTAACTTATGGTTGATATAATAAGAGGATATAATTTTCAACACAAAAATAAGAAAAAAATAGAATTCAGACTGTCTCCTTTTTCGATTGAAAAAAGTAATGCCTTGTGCTTTTGAACTTATGGTTGATAGCAAATTCAATGAAATTAAAAATAGATATGTCAGCATTGTGCTCCGTTCACTAATAAAGCACAATTTTCTACCAATCAGCACTATCCTAACTATATAATAATTCATAATATAAAAAGTTGTCTAATTTCGCTTTGAAAGACATATATTGCCTCATATATAGCCATATATTGCCTCATATATAGCCATATATTGCCTCATATATAGCCATCCAGAACACGTGATTCGTTGTCCCATGTATGGACATCCAGAACACGTGATTCCTTGTCCCATATATGGTCAACCAGAACACGTGATTCATTGTCCCTTATATGGGCATCCAGAACACGTGATTCATTGTCTCATATATGGTAAACCAGAACACGTGATTCATTGTCCCATATATGGGCATCCAGAACACGTGATTCAGTTTAACTTACCTAGACAGCCATAAAGTTCAACTCTTAAAGATGGCTGTCCACTCCACGTCAAGGGGTTTATTCTAACGTAAGTCGCTGTGAAAGGAGGGCTAATGGTGTTCTTTCTTACTGTGTTGGCATCTGTATTACCAGGGAAAACCTGTTGAAACCAAAGCCAATCCTGTTAATACTGAAAAAAGAACTTTCAAATAGGCGAAGATATTTCTAAGATAAGTTGAAAAAACCCTATGATAGATAAATATGTAAATAATTCATTTCTTAAAAGCGTTTGTATGACGAGAGGAATGAAAGAAAGAAAAAAGACAATGAAAAGGAAGACTTAATATGCCAGTTTCAAGTTCCAAATTACCACTGTACCGTTATTTGATTACAGACTCATTTACGCAGGGCTCATAGCCTCGCATCAGAAATACCAACGGTATGCACGACGTCAATAATACAAACACTTTGAAACTCAACAGACCTTGACTAGAATACGGGAATATTCTGCACAAGATCGAGGTTAACCCTGTGTAAATGAGTCGCATCGCTTGAGCGCTTTGTGTTTGACCAGTGAACCAATGTATGGAAAAAGGTGAATATAAAGTTTTTTTWAAAAAACTAAAAGCGTCAACAGTTTAGAAAACTAACAATTTAATTTTGCATACAACTGATTTCTAGATTTTACGACATTTTAATCCTTAATGTGTATTTATTATTTCATAAATAGTACTAAACTTAATTTCGAAAAACTGGCGCCATATAACTAGCTATGCGATAATTTAAAACTGATGACCGCCCTGTCCTCAAATCCTGGCCATGGGTTCCCTGTGTCTTACCTTTATCGATCCAACATTCGATCTGCAAAACTTCCAAGTTTTCCCGTCCATACTATACGATAAATTATAACTCCTGACCCAGTCCTGCACAACATTCAGGCTACCTCTTCCTTGGGTAGCGATGCCCGTCACCACGTATGGGTGCTTCAGGTAGATTTGTAACCAAGGGTGACCATCGTTAGCACCGGGCGTCCACCCACTGGGGTACCATGTGTAGTATGGTACGAGGTTGAGTCTGGCTTGAGCCGCGCCCTGCCAGTAATCTATCTCGGATGAAGCTGTTAGAGAACTGTCTGGGATTATGTATTTTTCCACACCCAGCGAATAAGAACACTCTAAAAAAAAACAATGCTAATGATAAAACCTCCAAGATCAATAATTAGGAAATCTATTATTTTCGCTTAATACTATTAATATTTTAGAATATGTTCTTTTTTTACCAAATGTATCTTTTCTCAAATTACGTTCGCTTACGCATGGAACTAGAGCGCGCTAGAAACGGTTTTTCTTTCAAACTTTGTCGGAAAAAAAGATTTTTTTTTGGCTAAGCGCGTCTCGTTAGTACGTTTTGACCAACTGTTGACGTCATATATCATGGTGAATAAGAGGACATACCACGCAAACCATCGACAATTTGCTAAATGTAAAAACAAACAAGATTAAATATTTAAAAAACCTATTACACTCGCTTAATAGGTATTGATGTTATCATAGAAAAATGTGCTAATGTAAAAAGGAAACAAAAGAGAGGAAACAAGTTTTAAAGAAGTAAAGATAAAATCTTACTTTTAATCTAATGCAAAAGATAATGGATTTTGATAAGTTTTACGACCATAATTTCTCATAACGATTTGCCTCGTTAACAATAATAATAATAAAT